AACACTGTCTCGAGAGCAGTCCAGCAGTGGGATTCCCTTGGAAAGAAAACTGTCTCCAGAGCAGTGACAAGTGCTATGGCGCGTGCAAAGCAAGCGGTTGCTTTCTGTGGGCTTGACAAGTCGCACGATGGAGAAATGTCAGCCCTCAAAGAATGCTCTTCGACTTCTGTGAGCAATGATCGAAATGGCTCATGTCACTGCCAAACAACCAGCATCACTCTAGTTCATCTATAGTTCATGGAAGCTTGCAAGCAACATTTGAATCTTGTTCTGACGCTCGCTGGCCACTCTTGTTTGGCAATCTTTCCCATCATGAGCTTGGCTGACCACGCCACCTTTCGAATCCTCTCTGGATGGTACTGATGACACCTTTCTGCTGGACGCAGGTCAGCTTAAGCTTCGTATTCTTCTTCATATTCTTCTTCTTTTATTCTTGCCCTACGCAACCTCGAGCTCCTGGAACTCTGCAGTGGTGCCACTCGCGTTTGGACATCGTAGGTGTACTTCATCAATGGCATTGCCTTAGAAGCGCCGTGGAAAATTTCTTCCTTTAGCAGGTCCGATGTCATAGCGATTGAGTTGCTCGAATCACCTAAGATCCGTCAAGGCGCGGTGCGGCCCTGTCGCCGCTTGCCGCACATCTGCTTTATTGCTCAAATTCAGTCGCAGCAAGTCTGGACTTCAATGAACTGCGGGTCCCGGATCTCCAAGAAGGGGCTCTGATCTGAGACTGAAGCAGGTCCCAGCTCGGCTTTGGACGTTTCTCCAGCCTGATCCAGATTCAAGCGCCTCTGCCATCAGCGCGTGGAACTGCTCTGAGACGAATCAGGGGAGCCAAAGCGTGGCAACTATCCAATTGCCCACATGGGCCTTCCACAGTTGTCCTTCACCGAAGGTCTGCTGACTTGTTTGGCGCTGGCAGTCCAGTAGCGTATACAGCCTTGAGGCTGAGAAGTGCATAGAAGTGCATCGTTTCAACGCCTTCCTGTAATTGGGAAGGGTGCGCTGCGTCGATGATTTGCGGGCGTACTCATCACCAAAGCCCTCGTGAACTCCTTGCAATTTTTGCCTCGCAATAATATCTAAAGCGAAGGTTGATTCTGGAGCACTGCAAGCCCCTTTTCTTTAGAGAGAGTGGGAGAGAGAGAAATAGAGAGATAATTCAGGTTGGTGATGATATCCGCCGACCCCAGCCGATGGCGGGGGAGCGCGTTAGATTTTCCGTCAAACGTGCGGTTTAGGATAAGACCCTGACGAACCTTTCCCGCATATCCCATATAGAACTATAGATCATCGCTTCTGTGGGCCAAGCGGCTGGAATGGTGGCTTTCGGACCCTGGCCTGTGGCGGATTCAGAAGGCAAATTTCGTGTTCCACAACGCTCTCAACTGCTCTTTGGCTGAATGTGCGGCTTTGATGGCTTGTGAATGCTCCGTCTACACACATTAAGTCGTGGCTGAGAAGCTTCTCTGCCAGATCAGACCCAAGCTCCATCGCTTCCTTGGTGTGAGGGTTGCCAACTTGTTTTCAGTCATGTTGTTTTGTGGGTTTGTGGGTCCAGCATGATCGCAGGGGTGGGTTCTTGAGTTGCGTTTTGTGCATCTAACTTTGGATCACCTGATCCTTGATGTGGCGCCAGTTCTGAATCCTCTTCTTCTGAGCTGCTACTGTGATGAAGATGGAATGGGCAAGCTGAAGCGGTTTGCTGCCCGCGCGAAAAAACCGCGCCATCTTGGATTCCAGGTCCTTTCACGCTACTCAGCGTTCATTTGCTGTCGATGGCTCCGTCAGCTTACCGAGTGACACTGTGGTGACATGAACTGTTCAAAAATACCATCTCACCACATCTCACCACACACACACACAAGTTGAAAAATCTGATTGTGATGTCAATCGGTGTTCGATCAAACGCGCCAGAGACACCTGGCTGAGCTCGATCGTGAAAAGCAGGTGGCAGAGGCCGCGGCAGCCACAGCGGATGGGAGGAGGGAGAAACCAGAGAACCCAGGGATTTGGACATGAAGTTTTGATTTCTATGAAATCCCCACATTGGTGGGCCGAAGGGGTCTCCATTTGGAACCCCTTAAGAGGCCTCATATCACAAAACTCATTGGGAGGCCCTTTGATCATGCTGGTATATATATATATGTTGATAGTAGTATTGTCATGGTCTTATTATTGTTGTAGTATGGTCTTCAATGTCATTCAAAGGGTCATGTTTGATTCTGATGTTGAGATTGAGTCAACCACTCCAGTTGCTTGTTTCGGGTTCTTTCACAGATCTTCACGACCCCTGGCCGCGGCGCGAGATCAGATCCCATCAGGTGATCTTCATTGGCTGCAAAGCGTTCCAGGACTGTAGCGCTCTCAGCAGCTTGAGCCTCCAAGGGAGCGGACTTCGGGTGTCCGACTTCGCCTTCACCGGCTGCGGGTCGGATCTGTTGCCTCGGTTACCTGGTCGTCGGTCGACTTGGGACTGGGGTCGGATTCGAAGCACCATTGATTTATACAGCCTCATATCGAAGAACTGTGGCTTTGGCTTTTGCATGCTTTTACCAAGGAATGAATGCACCAACCAACCAGGTCAATCATGCGCGACTGTTTTTGGAGGCGAACGGGTAGCTCTCTTTGGTTGGGAGAGTCACCTAGACATGGAGACTCCGGACTGCCATGGATAGGTCCCGTGGACTCCGGATTTTCGCAGTCTGACACGGAGTGACCGCCTCAGTTGATTCGTAGAACCCCTCTAACATCGAGGTTCTATCAATCCCTGTTTGGGAGGGTTATGTTCTATTCATCACTCGAAGGCGAAAAACAAATCACTTCCAGGAATCTTAAGGCTTGCAGGAGAACTGGTCCGTCAGATATCTATGGGCGATGGTTTTGTCGGGGGGGACACAGAGGGGGTACCCTTCTTGGCAGTCTAAGCCTTCAACAAAAATCCGGGAGACAGTGCTGAAATGTGTGTTGCCCCCTGAAAATTGATGGACAAACAGGCAGATCTTGCTTGCTTTGACCTATCCCAATGGAGGTCATGCATTTCATGGGTCGCCCAGCACCAAGACTTGGGATTCTTTGCACAAAGCATTTGATATCAAATGATCTCAGCATTGAATATCTTATCAATTCTTATCATCATATCCTATCCAAAACATACCCAAACCAATGGTTGTTTCATCATTGTTTCTCCACTGCCAGAGATGCTTCCAGCAGAGTCTCCCTCTTCAAACCCACCAGCAACGGGTTTGGACCCCTGCCCAGGTCACTCAAAGCTGCTTTGGCCAGGCTCGCTGCACAGCGTTGGCCTTCGACACCAGGCGAGTTGACGAAGCCGCAGGGGGTAATGCTGGGGAGGACCCCTGCAAAAAGCGACACACCCCTGGAGAGGCGACACCGGCTGGGATAAGAATCGAAGGTGGTTGGGGCGAGGAACCACACGACCGGGAGAGGAGAAGTGGGCCCAGCGCCAGCATTTTTGTGCCCACATGCGATCTGTTCATGGCCCAGGACTTGAGGACGACCGGGGGCAGCCAGAGCCCGGGGTGACATGACTGGATGACTGGTCTTGAGAGGTCCAGGGGTGGTGCCATGTAAGGCCCACCCCAAGAAAAAACCATGTTAGTGAGTGTTGATGACAATTGGAAAGAGAGGTGCTTATTGAGGTGTTTATCCGCATGACTGCCCAAAAAATGCCTGTGGCCTGTGGCGGCCTATCGGTATATTTTGGTGGGATTTTTATGGTTGGGTTTGGATGTGGATTTCTGGATTTCATGCAATGGGAAGGCCAGGCATGAAACTTTCCTAAGAAAGAACAGGTTTCAGTTCCAAGTTGGGGTGGTTTCTGGAGGGAATTCTGGGATGATGCACCCATGAACGAACCTGAATCCTCCCTCAAGTCTGGTGAGCCAATCGTTTCGCCCTTCAGGGTCGTGGTGCCGGAGGTGAAGGACCTTGAGAGGACCGTCGCTTCTCACGACGTCGGCGAAGAGGTCTCTTTGAGCTCAGGACCCAAGCGCCTTCCTCCTCAGGACGTGCTTGTGATCGGCCGCTTCCGCAGACCGTGGTTCCTTCATGAACGAGTGGCCAAGCGCTGTGCCACATCGGGTGTGGCGAATCCGCTGCGAAGGGGGGGGTTCGAGTCAACCACTGCCGGCACTGAAGAACCCAAAGAAGATGTGGATGAAGATGAGGTGTCACTTGGTATGCGGCCACCTTTGGCATTCTTTGCGTGTGTGTTTTCATGTGTGTTTTTTTTTTTTCAGGATGTTTGGATTTGGTTTCCTTTCCTCCCATAGTTGAGATCCTTCCTGTCCTTTTGCTTGTCTTTCCTTTCCTTTGTTCACCACCTGACAGGCCCGTATTGGACCGTAAGCACACGTGCTGCCAGGTTATCTCATCGCAGTTGCTGTTCCCGCTTGCAACGGCTTTTCTCATGAGATCCAACCAGCGCATCCACTGTGGCCACAACGGGGGCGTGGTGGTCGGAGGCTGGAAAAGCAAAGCAACCAATGTCGCCCACGGTATAGAATAGCATCGAAAGGGCCAGGTGACTTCGGGCGACAAGAAGGTCAGCAGGCAATGGGTGTCAGTTCTTTTGCCCGAACAAGCCAAAACAAAAATAGAATGTTGGCAATAGGTGTTAAGGCAAACAAGCCAAAGAGCCAAACAATGGGTGTCAGGCAATAGGTGTTACAGTAAGTTGGGTTGAGATGTTCCTTGCCATCTTCTTCGAAGGAGTCGCCTGCAAGCGAACATTGTAATTCTCCAAGGACAAAGATCCGACTGTTCAGTGCAGCAGCCGATCCCGGTGCTCCAAAGAGATGTCTTCGACAGGTCACTATCACTGGATGTTTTTTTTACTACATTTTGTGCTGAACCACGTTTTCGACGAAAGCGATGTTTAAGCATGTTTTAGCAACCTCCACAGTAGGTCTCTTCTGGAGAACTTTCTACACCTGAAAGTCACAGATGGTGACATACTGAAGGTATTATCTGGTACTTATACATACTGACTTCTTTCCCCAACGTGGCTCCAAGAAACAACCCTTCACAAGACAATACCAATGGCTGGAGGTTACCACTTACCAACCATGCAAATAGGCACCAGCGACACCCAAGTCATCGATGTGTTGAGTACCAATGAGATGCAGAAGACCTCACCTGGAGGAGACCTCTTGTGACCGGGGCCTTTGAATTTTGACGCGATCGCAAACATGCTGTTTTGAGATGATCCACCCACTCAGCGACAGGGCCAAATAGATGGTCATGGAGCAGCAGACACCTTACGACGATCTCAGTTGCCATGTGGATTCAGTCAGTCGCCACCATAGATTACCTTTTACTCTTAGTTGATTGATTAATAGGGGGGATAAATGGCCTCTAGTCTTCCCCAAGTGTACAACATCACTGGTTGCCCCAACGAACAAAACATGTCAGGCCTCCAAATATCTGACATATGGCATATGGGTGTGTATTGGAATAGGGAGACCTCCCAACGATCCATTGGAAGAAGGGATATAGACCCACAAAAACATGTAAAAAGCCATTGGTGTGGGGGATTCCCTATTGAAATACATACAATTTCTTGTTGCTTACCAAATCTTACTGACCTTTCATCAATCCCATTCGCCGTGAGTGCTTTTTTGGGTGTTGTTTCTTTCTTCATGACATGGAGGGCGTTTGCACATCTTCAGCTTCCAATCAATTTGGCTCTCTACATGGATCAATCTTCCATGACTTTCCATTTTGGGCCGTGGCTGGGTGCGAGGGATCCACACGTCTCGGCGGCGGTCGCGGTCGGCGGAACCGCGACCGGTCTGTACAGCACGACCGGTGCTTCTCGCGGCGATCCGTGTCTCGCGGGTTCCAAAGAGACTGCCGTGGTCTTCCGCGTCGGACCGGACCGGGGCCCGTTGTGAAGGTCCGGACGGTGATGGGTGTTGTCATGAATAGATAGGCCAGCGTCGTGAGGCCCGGATGGCCAGAAAGCAATGGGAAACAACATAGTATAATAGTATATATACCCTAGGGCTCCAAGTACCTCCCCAGCAGGTATTTGGACCCTCTAAACCCACCCTAAACACCTTCTCAGAAGGTCCTTGGAGCCCTGGGGATATATATATGTATATATTATGACATTATATGAGAATATATACCATAGTAATGGTTATATATTCATTGTCTAAGTTGGGTAATTGCAGAGTTCAATCGCAAGCGGAGTAGGCGTGGCCCGTGGCCATGATTTTGTTCACAGGGTATGGTTTGGATGGGCAGGGCAACACCATTGAGGATCAGATGGATGTAGCATGATGTAGCTTAAAGATGTTAAGCCACATATTTCGCTTGCTTGAAGTGAGTCCGACGAAGCAAACGCAACATTTACCAATTGCGATTCTTCCTAATTTTGGGTTGATCCTTCTTGGATGAAGCTACCACACCCTTCAAGGCATCCCCCAAAACGCCAACACATGGCGCCACCTCCAAGGCACGGGCGCTTTCAGATCCTGGTAGCACGCAGGTGTGCATCGCCGGGCTCACCAGGCGGGTGCGTATAAGGACTGTGGTGCGGAGCGGAGGGCCAGGTTTGATGGGTCAGAGATGGTGACATCAGGTGACGTTTGATGGGTCGGTGGATGTGATGGGTCAGGGGGTTGACATCCAAGGTGGGCGCGGAAGAAGCAGCCACCCCGCGCCTTTGTTTATGGCATTGCTGTTGAACAGGGACTAGGGACTGGCGCCTAGGGGAGTTAGTCAACGAGTCAACGAATGAAGAGGCTTGTCGAGGATGATCCTGGCCCTGATATAATATCACAGCTGGGATCCATCGGGAAACCCAACCATCTGAAGAGTGAATCCCCTTACAGCTTCACATGGTTTTGAACTGAAAGGCTTGGGGCCCTGCCCCCCTACCTTGGAGCGCTTGGAGAACCTTCGAGACCCCTCTTCATGGATCCTCATCCAGTGCTGCAAGGTAGGGGCAGGGTCCAAGTTTAATGTTTATTCTGTGTTCTTGAGTGTTCCGGATCACGTGTGCGATTCTGGGAGTGCCAGCCACCGTTGTATCTCCGAAGGGGCAAGTGTTAGTGTTATCATACCGACAAGCTGGATCTTTGGCGCAAACCACATTCTAAAACAGCTATAGCCTAGCCACAGACAAGTACTTGGAACCTAAATGATTCCAAACACCAAAAAAGTGCATCAGAACCTGTTTGCCACTTAGAATCTCAATTGTGGCTTGTGTGAGAATAGCCGAATAGCAATGGTTCATTGTTTCATTGAGGAGCATCCTCAAACGTTATGGACGCCTCACTCAAGTCGGGGTTTCAGCGCTTTCCCTTGCAGCTTTGGCACCGCCCCTTGGAGATCGACAAGAGACCGGCATAAATATGACATACATGGCTGGATCGATATCCGGTGTGTAATTGAATACGGGGACACCCATTGGTTGTTGGGTAGACTGGTCTATGTCCCGAACCTTCCAGGAAGTCTTTGGGAGGTCTCCCTATTTTAATGTACACCCATATGCTGTGGATGACGACCATTTGTACACCGCCGCAGTTCCTCTTGCCTCATGTGCATATTGTGCACATCGCCGCTGGTTCCCATGTCACTTGACTCAAACATTCGATCTTGTTCCTTCCTGTTCGAGGCTGACGCATACCATCTCTCAATGCATTCCAGTGGACATGGTCGGGGCCTTGGTTGAGTTCAAACAAGGTGTGGATTTTAGGGAGTGTTCCCAGCAGCGTGCCATATCGGTCTGCTTTGAAAGAGACAGGTGGTTTTGCTGCCAAGAAGCAGCCCTGGGTGGTCCATGGTTACGGGTGGCACAAGGCTTTCGAGTGCATTCTCTTTGAAGGAGCGGATGTCCTAGCCAGAACACCAAGGACTCCTTTAATAGAGGAAGTCGAAGACTGGTGGCTGCATGTTTCATTTGTCTTTCAGATCAGGAATAAGCAGCCAAACTCGCAGAGTTTCTGATATAGTTGTTTCGGTTTCCATGCCCTCAACTGTACCCCTGTAACACCAGTAGCCGCTGGGGAGGATGTTTTTGATATCCTGCTTCTACCTTGTGTTCCCCTGTCTTTTTCAGGACTTGGTTGCAGTCTGAGAGTCCTTCTCTTAGGCTGTGACTGAGATCCTGTGGGCTACAGTGGGCTTATTATTCCCCGTGCAAAAGAAAAACATCTGCTGAAATGGCAAAGGTAAGTCCCTGGGGCGTTGGTCAGTTCTACTTGTCTTAGTCTCACGAGATGTCAGATACAGAGGCTTACCTCACTTGCTGATGTACGTGAATGAGAAACTGTACCAATTTATTTATCCGTCCTTTATCCATATCCAGAGAACATGTTGCAAACATTCGGTTTAGCAGTGTGTTTGATGCTCGGAAACCCAAACGATCAGAAAAACAACACACTGTTCCTGATAAGGATCCATATGGCAGTTACGATCCTCTACAGTAATTCGTCATTACCAAGAGAAAAAATAATACTGTACATTAAAACATAAAACACTCTAAAACACATGCACACGCATACCAGTCGGGGTGCTTTGTCCACGTTGGACATCGGGGTGCTTTGTCCGTCACATCCACGAAAACTACCACCCCCCCGAGCTCTGTGACTCCTGGGATGCACATCCATTTCCCGGATCCCAGATATATAAAGGAACCAGGGTTTCTATGGATTTCGTCTTTGAAAGCACTGGTTACCAGCTATAGTGGTAACTGGCTCCCCTGGGTGTGTTTGGTGTTAAACAGGGCCCAGTGGAAATTGTCCACGTCCAAGAAACCTCCGAGTGGGTCGCCGAGTCGCCGGTGGGTAGAAACTGCACGCGCTTGAGCGCGCGCGAATCGCAGAACAACCTTCGAGAAGAGCTCAGTCAGGCTGGACCGGGTGTGCTGCGTTTCGGTTTGGTCGCTCCTTCCTAGGCGGCCTGGTCCGTTCTCGCACCAGGAACTCGTTTCATTACTCGTTCGCCAACGCAGCGGCTGGGTGGCCGGGGGAGGTGAGGGAAGGGGACCTCCACCGGGTGTGGCGGAAGAGCGATGATGAACCTTTCGCCCAGACGAAATGGTTTCACTCTTAGTGTACCTGGACTTGCAGTTCGTACCTATAAATACATGCATGCAATATATTTGCTCTTGGGTCATATTGATACAGTTGTCTCTCACTTTTTTGGGAGGGTAGAAATCCATGGTACGGTCCACTTTCTCTCCGTGTTTTCTTCCAATGCCCCGGTGACTCCCGTGTGGCCCCCACACCGGTGGCCCTTCCGCCACACAGGGGAAGCCGCCGCCGGAGCGCCGCATCGCGGAGATGCTCGAGAACATCCAACGCTTGGCGAAGGTGAAGGACATCGGAGAGAACGAGAAGGCCCCGCAGTTGGTGTGGACGAACAACGGGAACGGGGACGGACGGACGTGACGTCGGATCGGATTGACTGCCCATGACGCCGAGGACATATAATGTAGACTGTATTGATATTGGTGTAAGAATGTGTATACATATTTTGTGTGTCAATGTATTAAGTATACCTGGACCATCCAATGGGCGCCCAATGGAGACCAATAAGTAGTGCAGAGCTGTCCATTTGTGACCC